AAACTGCAAAGTACCGTTTTCACAGCAGGAACAACAGTGCTCCTCTTCAAAAAGAGGCATAATAAAAATAGGACTGTAATGAAGGAAGTTTGGGGGGAAAGACACTCCTTTGGCTCTTCAAAAGTCTTCTCATGCAATATATGTTTGAGATAAATGTCTTTCCAGTGTATTAAGTTCTCACACAGGTATTTTCTTGCTTCTTGTTTCTATTCATTCCACTTTCAAAAGCCTGTCCTACTAGCAGCCCCCTGGCAATAATCACTGTGACTATATAGCAAACAGTTAAGTCAGATAAACACTGGTATACATCGTTTATACAGCTCCAGCTGGAACACGGCAAATTTCTCCACTGTGCAGCTAATACCCAGAATATGTACAGTCCTTCCTCCCATTTGTCTAGAAATGAGAGACATCCCACAGCACATTTTCCAGCATTATAGCCGTGCCACTCCATTTGTCTAATTTCCATGCCCTCAAAGATAGCTGTCCCAGATGACAGATTACTTCAAAATAGTTCCTTCTGATTTCAGTACTACTGGGTACAGTGAAAATACAGAAATGAGCTTCTATTATCATTGAATCTATTGCTAGCAGCAGAAACCAAAAATGTAGCACCTTGGATTCATCATCTGTTTTTGGGGGGGTTTTTTGTTCTTGTTTTTTTAGACAGTGTGGAAATGTTCTGCACTTCTGAGTCTAATAAAAGTCATCTCTCTCAATTATCTCAATCTCAATCTCTGTGTATCAATGGACAGGGAAACACTGTTCAGTAAATATTTCATTTTTTTCTTTTATGCAGCAATGACTGTTTGACATTAAATCAATCAGTTTCTAAAAAGCATAAAAAGGAATAACTGCCCTAGGCACTTCCCACAGAAATTTTACTTTAATTCTTCCATCCCTATACAGTGCCCATGCTACAAAGATGCTATATGTCAATATTTTTAGAATGCACAGTACGATCAACAATAATAGAGAAAATTGTGGGCTGAGAAAACAAACTGCCTTCTGCTTAAGTGACCTGTGTAGTCTCTCTCTTTACTTCCCAGACAGCAAAGAAAACAAAGTGAACAGCAGTGACAGTAGAATGTACTGAGGTATTCTGCTCTACTGGACCTTCTCCATCCTTGCTTAAAACCTGCACTGTTCTGTGCTGCTATCATATATCTTCTCAGGAGGTAGTTGAAGCTAAGTTTCTTGAGGTCCTTATAGTTTGGCAGAACTTTATCAAGGAATAATAATCAAAGAATAATTTAAAAAATGAAAAGTAGGATTCCTTAAAATTAACAGCATGGAATTATTGTTGTTCCCTCTACTAGAAAGAGGCATCTCATTTCCTCCTGAGCAATTTATATATTTGCATATGACATCAGAATCCTTTTTCTATAGTAATGAAAAATGTCTGTTATCCACCATTTGCAAGGCCAAAAAACAGAGTTAGGTGGCTTTAACAAGAAACGAATGGACAATAAAAGGAAAGCTATTCCATCTCTGATGTCTGGGGAGTATGGGAAGATCCTACACTTTACTGTCTTTCATTGCCTATTGAACACTGATAATTTTGAATTAAAGAATCAAAGCACTGTTCCACTCATTTGGTTCTCAGTACAAATTTTCAAAGAGCTCCAAAATAAATAGCATTGACTCCTCTTGCCTGGAAGGAGACTTCCGGACTTCACCTTACAAGCCTTGTTTCCCTTCAAATTCAGCATTTTCATGTGGGTGAATCTGTCCTGGAAAGCAGCCGCCTCCCTTATACACAGAAAATCAAAAGCAGTCTCCATTTATCTCAGACATTCACTCTTGGTCCAGACTGTCACAATATTCAGCCTAGCAAGTAAAAGTTTAGCCTGGAACATTTCCTGATTTATTCTGGTAACAGAAAAAAGGCCCAAAACTTTGTCTCTGTTGAGGCCTTGAAATGTTATCATCTGTGGCTACCTTTTCTGCCTTTTTTCCTTCTCACATTGTGAAGTTTCAACACCCAGAAGCTAAAGACTTCATTTATATTCATAGTTCTTAGACACCCAAGCACTACAGATTGGTCATAGTGTAAGAACCTAATGAAACAGCGTAAAACCTGTAGTGCACAGAACTACTGTTACTACTGTCAGAAAAACTGACAAGTTTGGCTCTAAAAATATGGATATATTGGTAAAAATGTTGCTGTTCTGTGCTGCACAAATGATTTGTAGCAGTTAAACTGGATTTAGTGACACAAACAAACAAACAAACAAACAAAAATGAATATAGGTAGATACTTCAACTCCTGGGAACATGCTGATTTCACCAATGTCCCATATTAGGGTCGCAATACTTGTGGGTTGGATTGTGGGTAAACTCTGACTTCCTCCCCAGGGTGCCCTCTTGCAAGAGGCACAAATGCCAAGTTGGGCCTGTGATATCATCATTATGGAAAGATTTGAAGAACATATGAAAGTTATGTGTGTATCTTCTGCAATCTAGAGTCACATACATGCCCCACGGATGAGTAAAGCCTAAGTGGGCCACAGATCCAATTCACTCCACTCTGTTTTGCATTTGATTATGTCTGTTAATTCCTGTTCACATCTATGATATATATTTATTCCTTCAGCAGCTGTGTGA